CCCCAAAACCCCAAAACCCCATCATTCTAATAGCAGATAAATAAGGAATTAGAAATTTTAAATTAAATCAATGAATGAATCGAAACCAAATTCAATATTTTTAATCATCTTCACAAATGCTTAATGCTCTCAAGATAATCAGCACTGAGGGCTTTACCTTTTTGCTGAAGTACCAAATCATCAATCATATTTTTAATCAAGTTGATGAAATGAGAGTTGTCGGAGCTTCCATCTGACACTTACTTGAGCAGATCCCTATATCTTTGAATGTTTTCATCATCAACTAGGTAGTCTGGTTGTAGGTAGTGGAAGTAAGATTCAGCAATGAATCTACCCTTCTTCTTAAATATCTCAGGAATTCTTTAGAAGAAAGCCTGAACAAAGTCCTCGTTCAGGTGTCTGTGAATAACCTAGTTAAAGCCAATGAAGGAGTATTAGTAGTTGCTGTATTGCCATTCAATATCCTAATCGAAATATTAGCTCCATAGTTTTTGCTTATTCGCGACTGTTGGTATAGCAGAACTACAGTAGTACTTAGTCTGTTAGGTCCAGTCAGAGCTATCAATTTCAGCTAGTTTATCCAAATAATTATCTTTCTCTTCTTGAGGAATTGAGAAACTACTGAAAATTCTCTTGGTAATAGAATGCAAATGCTTTGTTGAAACTTCTATGTGCTCAATGACAGCTCCATCAAGTAGCGTGAATCTGCGTCTATCAAACCACTTCTTGATAACCAAAACGTCTTCATCGTTTCTCGCAGCATTAATGGCACATTCAACAAGCAAGTGAAGAGTTGTCTTGTTTTCAAATCTTCCTGAGCCTAAGAGATCTTTCACGATGAGAACAAAAACTTCATGATACTATGAATAATTAAGAAACATTTATTACCTCTCTCTCAAAGTTCTCTAGAGGAATATAGTTTTTAATAACCAATGGAATATAGGACTGAAGACTTGAAGAAAGAACTGAGTCACTGGTTTCAGTCTTAAGATGCTTCTTTAGTATTCCGAGAAATTGAGATCCTGAGAGCTCTTGATCTTTCAACATCTCATTGAGAGTGTTAATCAAAAGTTTTCTTTACATGCTATCCTTAATCAACTAAAGTTAGGTCATTATTATCAAATAAATGGCTTACACCAAGTTTCTCATCAAAGGCTTTCAGAGATCTATTGTCAATCTTGAATTTACCGTAGCCATAGCATCTGTAATTTGAGAAGAAAGCTTATGGAAGCTTCTTGCCAGCCAAACCATGAATGACTGTAACTCTGGATTTATCACTAGTGTGAGCCTCAACTTCTTCAATAACTTGCATGTTATCATCGAGAAGAGCAATTACAAATTTTTGCTTTCTAAGTCTGTTTTGACCGTTGTGATGGAGATCTTAAATCACTCTGAACTCTAGAATTTCATTTTAATCATTAAGATCGTATTCATAGGAGATGATGTTGATTCCAGATGATTTGAGCCATGAATAACTCCAGTCAACCAAATCCTCCTTGATTCCTAATCTCTTAGCTGCAGCTCCAAGTTCTGTCAAGAAGTCATTCAAAACAGTGTTTTTGTAGGCGAATTTGTGGAAGTAAGTTTGAAGACCATCTCTCATAACTTAATCTCCAAAGTAGAAGAAAAGCTGTCTCAAAAAGCATGCACCTTTTCCATATGAAATGCCATCGAATAGATTTTGGGCTTCCTCTGTGTTAGCGCAACTTCCTGCTATTGGGTGAGTAGTAGACTACTGATCTTCCTCCATTCCCCAGAAGTTTTCTGATAGGAAAATGCTCCAAGCTAAATCGTACTCCTCTAGTCCATCTGCTTGGTCTAAACAGACATACGAAATGAAATTTGCGAAACTCTCGTTGAGCCATAGATCATCCCACCATTTCATAGTAACAAGGTTACCGAACCACATGTGGGAGATTTCATGAAGTAATGTGACGAGAACTCCTTGTTGCTTGTCTCTTGTGAAGACCTCGTCTCTCTGAATATAGCTTTCAGTGTATATAACCATTCCAACGTTTTCCATTGCTCCCATGTTGTAATCTGGCACGAAAAGATGGTCGAACTTATCAAATGGCCATGGTGTTGAGAAGAATTTTTCATAGAACTTGATGCATTTAATAGACACCTTAAACCAGGTTTAAGCTATTTTCTTTACGTATTCAGTAAGAGACTATCTACAAAGAACTCTCTAAGGAATTTCTGTCTGGTCTTCATCTACAATAGCCTCATATGGACCTGCCATAAGTGAGTACAAATAGGTGCTCAATTTTTAAGATTGAGGGAACTCGTGAGCTTTAAATGGTTCATCTCCAAATAAGTCATATAGCTCATGGTTTACTGAAAATTTTAAGATTGATTATTAAAAGCCGAGCTCTTCCTTGGTTGAGATTTTTGAGCTTGCTTTAGTTGACATCACCTTCCAGTCAGCAGGGGCGAACACCAGCAATTCGTAAGGGGCCTTTAAATCTGGTTAATCAAAGCAAGGGAATATTTTATGAGCATCGGCAGCCTCACATTAAGAGTAAAGATACTCTCTATCATCCTAGGGATCCTTGAAATAGTGGAGTCCCTGGCAATCTTTGACATAGGCAGATACGAATCTGATTTTTACCTCGTTCTAACCAAGATGAAGCAAGTTTCTTTGAAGATATATCTTATGATCTTTAAATGCAGTCTTGTCTGACACAACATGCCCATTGATAATAAGATGCTTGATCTCCTTGCCTGTATAGTCTAAACTCAAATGGTAGCCCTAGTAGGAAAGGTTGAAGTTGATGGTAACTTGACCGTGGAAGTTCTCACCACCCTTTAGTAGTGATACCGCAATTTTATAGGATAAGTTACTAATTACTGAGGCTCTTTAGACTGCATCAATTCTAGTGATGAATCTTGATTCCCCATAAGCTGGATCAACCATTGATGTACTTGACTCGGACTCTTCTGTCTCGACGTCTGGATTTCTGTTCTTGAAGTAGATATAGAGAGCTTGGGCTAGGGCTGAAGCAGTAGTCAAAGAAGCTGCGATTAATATCTTATTATCTTGAGTATCTGATGACATTAAAATTTTAGATTAATTTATGATTCCCTCCTCAATCCCCACTCATCAAATACTCGGGGTTTTGGGGTTTTGGGGAGATCGGAA